ATTCTGATCTTAAAGGATACAATAGATATTATGAAAATGATATACTTTAAAACTTTAAATGTTAGGAATCTAATATTACCTGACGAAGTTCTACTTCTTGGAATAGGTTCTTTAGTAGGAGTATTTTGATATTTCTCATGACTTTATAATTCCTAACCAAGACCGATTTGTCCATACTTCCATTTAAAATTTTTGAAAATAAGTTTACATGAAAGCTTGACTTGACTTAGGATGGCTCTGTCCATCCTGCCACCTCTGGGGAATCTCTTCTGGAATTACACCCTTTGGGGGAGACCCCTGGAAGGAAGTGTCCTGCTGTGCCTGGCCAAGTGGATCTCCAGGCTGAATGAGGCCTGTTGCATAGATAACAGGTTAGAAGAGAAGTTGAAATTTTGCCAAACTATTTCATAGCTTCCAGGTGGGAATGGAGGTGATACCAGCAGGGAAAACAGAAAATAGGTCAGGCTCCTGAGGCCTTGGGAAGACCAGAAAAGGAGTTAACTGGTTATTGGAGAATCAGTGTGCTTTTCTGGGTTTAAAAGGAAGGAAGCCTCAGGGGGCTTGCAGCCATTTCCTGTGGCTCAGTGCACTTGAAATTGTCCTGCGTGATAGTGGGGAAAGTGCTTCTCAGCAGGTTTGAAGGACTAGATAGCCTGTGAAGTAAGAATGGAGGTGAGCAAGTCCATCCAGGCCATGTGGCCTGCAGCACAATAGAGTTTACAGCTTAGGGGCAGGTTAGAAGACTTGGGTTTGAATCCTGGACCCAGTCTAGCTGCTTGTTTTGATGTGGCTTCATCACCACTCCCTAAAGTTTCACTTTCATCTTTCATAAAAACAACAGGATAATGACTGCTCTGTCACTGGATTGCCTGTGATATTTTGTATCAGATAAAATAATACATTTAAAAAAATGTCCTTTGTTGTACTGTTTAATAAATGTTATTGCCTTTCCAATCTTATCTCTTGTAATTAATTACCTATGGATCTTCTGTCTGAATAAACCTTTCACTTTCAGGCCTCTACCTTGGTTTTTGCCTAGATCGCTTCTCTCTTTTTCCCTATTTAAATTACCCCTGCCTCTCTTTACCTACTTAAACTCTAAATTTAACTCCTGTAGTATCCTAGTGAAGTAGTTTTAAACTAGTGAACCAGTCTTTGTTTCCTTTTTTCTAAAGGAGGAGCAGAGTTCTCCCCCCAGCCCTGGTGTCCAGGAGTAACCAAATTTATTTCAGGATGGATTTCCATGAACTCCTTGACCTTTAGACTGGCCCGCAGCCAGTCTCCCAGGACAGAGGTCAGAATTTAAGCTTTTAATGTGGGCCGTTGGGAATGCTTCTTGAGAAGCCCCAATTTTTCAATAAAATTTGTGCATGGAAAGGAGAAATGGAATATCTTTCAGGTAGATAATTTACTTACTAAAGTCTATCACTTAGGGGAGAAGTATTTGATGGAAAATAGATGATCAGAGGGAAAATTACTTACATCATCCCTAAAATTTTAATAACTTCAATTTCCAATTTATATATATTTGAAATATAACTCTGCTCTCCTTCTGCTATCAAAATTAAAACAATATAATTTTTCATAGTAGGAAAAATGGGTAAGAGCTGGCTGGTTGGAAAACAGTTAACAGGATTATTGGGATTCTTTCAGTAAAAGGCGAAAGATTTATGGGACCTGAAGAGAAACGAGTATATGGGGATTCTTTTGAAAGATTCTAGGGGTTTGTTTTGTGTTTTATTTTTGTGCTGTCATGATTTCTCAATTCCCTGTTTTTAGCCCTCTCTTAAATTGTTTCGTAGTTTCCATTAAGTCTTTTAAAAATATGCTTAACAAAACTGAATATGACATTTTAATATGTACATTCATAACTCAGGTTGCTTTTATTCTTAAATTATTTCTAATTTATGCTACTTTTCTTTTAAATAGAAGAGACTTAATAAGTCCTTTTAAGCAGTCAGTAGTGTAATCATTAGTGCTGGGCATCTAATATTAACAGATCATGAAATTTTTATAAAGTTAGTTCAAAATAAACTAATATTTACTTAGAAAGATTGAGGACTAGGGTAGGAGGTAGACTGGATATTTATAGTATTACCACATAAACCATACTTAAGTTGATAATTTAAAAATTATATTTCCCACTAAAAGTATGCAAAACAATTTAATGACAATAGCTAATCTTACTGAGCACTTACTATGTGCCAGGTTCCGTATAAAGAGCTATCTAAGAATTTTTTCATCAGATACAACTGTAAGTATTATTCACATCTTGCAAGATGAGGTAACCAAGTATTGAAAGAAAAGAATGATCATTTTTAAATCTTTTTTTCTCTTATGCAAATTGGATCATTTCTATTGATCTATATTCAAGTTTACTTACTTGTTCCTTTTTCATTATTATCTGTGGTTCTGTATGTAATGTCATTTTTCCTTTGGCTTCTTTTATGATTTTTCTATTCATGACTGATTTTCAGTAATTTGATTATGATGTTCCTTGGTGGGTTTTTTTCCCCCCCATGCGGGAATCGAACCAGCAACCTTGCTGTTAAGAGCACACACTCTATCCACTGAGCCATCCCGGAGGCAGCTCAGCTCAGGTGCCAAGTTCAGTCCCAGCCGTGGATAGGAGTAGTCCACCATCCAACAGGCAACCTTGTCATTAGGAGCATGTGCTCTCACCAGCTGAGCCGTCCTGCCACCTGTTGGCAGCTCGTCGTTGGCAGCTCAGCTCCAGTGTAGCTTAGACGAAGTTCACTGGCCCATGTGGGAAATGAACCAGCGACCCTGTTGCTCAGAGCTCGTGCTCTTAAGCAAACTCTTAACCAACTGAGCCACTCGGCCGGCCCTCTTTGTGGGTTTTTAAAAAATATTCTTGGGGTTTGTTGAGCTTCTTGAATTTGTGAGTTTATAGATTTCATCAAATATGGAAATTTATTTGCCATTATTCTTCTTATATTCTTCATGTCCAACCCTCTCTCTTCTCTCCTTCCAAGACTCCAATTACATATATATTAGACTGTCTGTTGTCCCACAGGTCACTAATGCCCAGTTCAATTATTCTTTTTTTTTTTTTTAAAGATTTTTATTAGGGAATTGGGGGATGGGAACAGTGCTGGGAATTGGGGGAGGGGGAACAGACAAGTTGCTGTCCTTTTGTTCTTCAGTCTAGTTGTGGAGGACGCTGCTTCACTGGCCCAAGTTGGCACCATCATTGCGCTCTTCCCGGGCGAGGCAGATCAGTCGCCTGCTTCTGGACGGCCGCTCACAGCGGCTGCTGGCTGCTCACGCTGGCTGCCGGCTGCACACGGTAGCCCATGGCAACCCACTGCAGCCTACGCCATCACCAGCGACTCATGGCAGCCCAGCTCCAGGTTGAGCTGTTGTTCAGCATCTTAGCTGTAGAGGGCAGCGTCACTGGCCCTCATGTGGGATCTGAACCAGGGCCCTCTGGCGTCCCAAGCCAGCTCCCAACCAACGTCCCACTCGGCTGGCCCCCAGTTCAATTATTCTTAGTCTTTTTTCTTTCTGTGCATCATTTTGGATAATTTCCATCAGTAGTCTACAAGTTCACTGATTTTTTTGCATCGTCTAATATGCTATTAATCTTATCTAGTATATTTTAAATTTCAAATATTGTATTTCTCATTTCTAGATGTTTCACTTGAGTCTTCATGCTTTCCTCTACCTTCTTGAGCATATGAAGTGTATTTATAATCACTTTTAATGTCCTCATCTGCTAATTCCACTCTCTATCATCCCTGGGTCTGATTGTATTGATTGATTTTACTCCTAGTGTAGATCATATTCTACTGCTTCTTTGAGTGACTAGTAATTTTTGATTGAATGCCAAACATTATGAGTTTTAATGTTTTAGGGTACTAGATTTTTAAATTATTATTATGATTCCTTGAAGGTGCAGTACTTTGTGATGGGTACACGTAAGTTGCCTGGCATCAGCTGGATCCTTTTGAGGCTGGATTTTAAGTCTGTTAGGGCTGTCCAGAGAAGCTTTTAGTCTATTGCTAATTTATCCCCACTGCTAAGACAATATATTTCTGAGAACCCTACCCAGTGCCCTAGGTGTTATGAGGTCTTTCTACTGTGCATAGCGAGAACGTGAATGATTCCTAGCTTTGTGAGGGCTTCAAGAATCGTGGGGCCTTGTGCTTTCCAGTGGTTCTTTCCTTGGCTTTAGTAGTTTTGTCTCATTCAGGCGCAGGTTAGTTCTCAGCCAAAGGTACCCGTCTGTAGATCACAACTTGTGCCCCTCTCTCTGAGCAGCTTCCTCTTCTCCCATGGTCGGCTCCACAAATTATAGCTGCTTTGACCTTCCTGAAACTCTACGTTTCTCCTCAACACAGCAAGATCGCTGGGCTCTGTTCAGGTTCCCCATTGCTATACTATGGCCTGGAAACTGCTTCTGGGCAGTAAGCTGGAGCAGTCATACGGCTCACCTCATTTGTTTTCCCTTCCATTAGGGATCACAGTCCTGCATTGCCTGCAATGTTTGAAAACTGTCATTTCATTTATTTTATTGCTTTTCTAGTTTTATAAGGTGGGAGAGTAAACCCAGCCTTCTTATACTCCATCATGAATGGAAGCAGAACGCTGTAATTTGCCTTTAAGATCTTTTTTCAAAGCAAAGATTTACTGAATAATTTCAAAGCTGGTGCCGTATATGAATAGTATTACATTAAAAGACCTGTGGACTAAAGACTCAAAATCAGCATCCTAATCTTTGCTCGGTCATTTAATTCGTGCTTCTCACAATGTGGACTTCTGTGATCCTCTACCCAGATGACTTAGAGCAATTCATTTGATTTCTCATTTTAATTTTCATCTTTAGATGGAAGGTTCTGAATCTTTTGTGTAACACACTGAGGTAATATAAAGTGTGAACACAAGCAAGTGTGTTAATTGGCTTAGATTGAGCTACTTTTAAACAGAAGTTAGTTTATTGTCACTTAACAGTCTTTATTATTTACATTTATTTTTAGGCACCATACTGGACATACTTTTTATGTGCACTCGGACTTTTTATCTACCAGTCACTGGATGCTATCGATGGGAAACAAGCCAGAAGAACAAATTCTTGTTCTCCTTTAGGAGAACTTTTTGACCATGGCTGTGACTCTCTTTCCACGGGTAAGTGAGCTATAGTTGTATTTGTTTTTTAAATAATGGCTTAAAAACTAAATGAACTGAGGTGTTTGAATGGTCAGTTTTTTTTTGAATAAGTGTAAATTTGGAGCAGTTTTTCACAGCGTATTTTAAAAGTATCTTCAATAATTTATTTTGTTCATTGTACCTTATTTTAATGCCAAGAGTATGTACCTTAAAACTCTGTTTTTGAAGGGTACAGGGCAGTTTTTTTCATTCTATTTCTAGTTCTTAATGGTTCTTAAACCTTGTTTCTTTCAGTGTTGATGGCAGTTGGAGCTTCAATTGCTGTTCGCTTAGGAACTCATCCCGACTGGTTGTTTTTCTGCTCTTTTATTGGGATGTTCATGTTTTATTGTGCTCATTGGCAGACTTATGTTTCAGGCGTGTTGAGGTTTGGAAAGTAAGTATGTATTTTAAGTTGTACATTTAAAAATGTAACTGAATTTATTTTCACAATCAATTATAGTTCATTTATCTATAATGGGACAAAGCTTCAATCAGAAATTTAAATTATCTTTTAATTTATTGGCGCATCTATAACTGTTATACCTTAATTTAAGTTAGGTATTCTGCATGTTATAGATAGTTATATATTTGATAAATAGTCACATATTTTTTCTCCCCTTCTCTAACTTGCTAGCCCAAACTTACACATTAGGCAGGAGAAAGAGAAAAGTAAGGGACCTGAATAATATAGAAAAACAGCACTTAAGTAAATAGCATTTGACTTATATAATAAAATAATGAATGGAATCTAAAGGTCCTTTTAGTCAAATCTTCATGTGCCCAAAAAGGGGGACTTGTCTTCAACAGTCACCAACAAAGGTAATTTTGAGACTCTCGGCTGTGATATACAATTGGTGAGACACTGTAAAAGCATCTTCCATATGTTATTAGGTCTATTTCTCAAAATCTGTGGTAAAGGACCAGTTTCTCCCCTCTTTCCATCCATCCTGGAGTAATAACATGCAATTAAAAAATAAAATAAAGGGCCGGCCGAGTGGCGCGTTGGTTAAGAAGTGGCTTGGGACGCCAGAGGACCCCGGTTCGGATCCCACATATGAGAGCCAGTGACACTGCCCTCCACAGCTAAGATGCTGAACAACAGCTCAACCTGGAGCTGGGCTGCCATGAGTCGCCGGCGACGGCGTAGGCTGCAGCCCCTGCGGCAGTGGGTTGCCATGGGCTACTGTGTGTAGCCAGCAGCCAGCGCGAGCGCCCAGCAGCTGCAGTGAGCGGCCGTCCAGAAGCCAGCGACTGATCTGCCTCGCCCGGGAAGAGCGCAATGATGGTGCCAACTTGGGCCAGTGAAGCAACGTCCTCCACAACTAGACTGAAGAACAAAAGGACAGCAACTTGTCTGTTCCCCTCCCCCAATTCCCCAGCGCTGTTCCCATCCCCCAATTCCCCAATTAAAAAAAAATCCTTAAAAGAAAAAAATAAGAAAACACACTTACAAAATACAGTCCCCAATATTTCATTTGATTCTACAGATACAAAATTACTCTGTCAAATTACCATAATAGTTTCCAAATGCTTACTCTCAATTTCTATACTTATCTCTTTGCGTGCTGGTTACAAACCCTGGACCACACTTGGAATAGCACTATTGTAGATTGTCTCCTCCATGATAATAGTTTGGGAGTTAAGGATATACCTGCGCCATATCCCCAATATCTATCTTTTTTAGATCCAATTTTTAAAAACTTGGACCCATTAATGTCTTCTCCAAGTTTGTAAATTGTTATGCAGAATATTCTTTGTCTAATATACCTTTGAAGCGTCAACTGTCTCTTCATAGTTCAAATATCTGAGGATTTGGTGAGTGAGTACCCTTTTTATCACCTCCGGAGCTTTGAGTTTAATTTAAAATCTGTGGTATGAATGATGCACGTGTGAAACCAAGGTGTCTAGCTCAGTCCTCACGTGTCATTTAGTTCACTTAGCGAGTGTTTGTTCTATAACCCCTAATCAGCTTTTCCAGTTGCTCTGGTCACTAGTCGTACCCTTGGAAAATTATAAATAACTTCATGTAATTCTACCATTGTTACTGGAAAAACAGTGCAGAACTCTGATAATGTATATCATTTAGTAGGAAGAGCGTTGGCTCTGAAGCCGATTCCCTATAGCAATATTCAGGTGTTCCAACACAGGCATGGAAACATCATTTCAGTTTCCCTCTCCAAGAAACGAATAATTTACAGCTTATAAGACTCATAATAATAAACATTAATACCATTCCCCCTTTTTCTCTACAAAGTATCATACATTATTATGTTTTCCTTTTCCAACTAACTTGGCTATTTCTCCACACAGCCTAGAGGCCTTGGTTTGCCTGCCACTGATCTTACTATTATTGGATTGGTCATTAGTCATATTTTCTGTTTATTTGTGGGCTAGTGTTCAATTCACCTTTTCCTCCTAACTTCCCTCAAACTAACTCAGTTGAAAAGTATTTTCTCCCAAATCTCGTTTTATTTTATCATCTAATCCCAACATTTCTTATATTTGCAGAGCAATAAAATATTCCTCTAGCATCTAAAGACTCCGCGGGCATCCAAGCGGAGATGTAAAGTAGATAGATATAAAAATCTGGAGCTGAGAAAAAAAGACATGGATTTGGAGATATGGATTTAGAGGCCATTAGTATATAGATGGTAGTCTTATATAGATAAAACTGTTTAGAGAATCTAAAAGGAGAAAAGATGGGATTCTAGAAGAAGTAGCCTTTAAGATGGGGAGGAAGAAGCAGTCTTCTGACAAGAGCTTCCAGCAAGGTAGGAGAATCAGGAGAGAGAAGGGAATAAATTAAAACATAGCAATGCATTTCCAAAAGGAGGGAGTGGATCAGCATTCTAAATATTGCAGAGAAATTGTACAAGATAACTGAAATGCATGTTTTAGATTCCACAAATTGGAAAACACTATTTACCTTAAATAATTTTTGTAGAATGGGGCCAAAAAACAGACTAGAATAGATTAAGCAGCAAATATGAAGAGAGGAGGAGATTACAAATGTGCTACTTTTCAGGCAGCCAGTTTATGGAGTAAAGGAGAGAGCAGTCAGTAGCTTCAGGGGATGCAGATTGGACACTAATAATGTTGGCTGGTTTAGTGGGCTTTTGAAAGAAATTAACTCATGTTTATACATATTAGTGGGGAAATGTCTGTGAAAACCAAAGAAACTATAGTGACTTAGTAACTTAATAAGGAAAACTTGGAATTTTCCTGCTTTTTAAATTAAATTGACTTGAGAATATTTAAGAATTTGTCTTGAATTATCTGGTTGTTTTGATGTTATAATTTTTCCTGATTGTAAGAGTAATACTTGATTGTTATAAAAAAAATTCAAACTTAACAGAAGTACATAAAGTAGAAAGTAAAAAGCCTTTTGTAATTTCAACGGTAACTGCTATTAACAATTTTATACATGTATAAAAATTTTTCTCCCTGTGCATATACTAATATTTACCTGTATGTGAGCACCTGTTGCTCTACAGGTTTTTCATTTCACAGTGTAGTCAGTAATTCAGAGACAAAACTAAAGGTGAAAATAAACTAAGTCTATAGAGATTTTTACATTGTTGATATTTAATATGTAGTTAACTAACCTCCACATTGAGGAAGTTTATTTACAAACATCTTTTCTATTCTTTGTCCTTCCTCTTTAGAGTGGATGTAACTGAAATTCAGGTAGCTTTAATGATCGTCTTTGTGTTGTCTACATTTGGAGGAGCAACAATGTGGGACTATACGGTAAAACTGAATATTTAAATTGAAATTTAAGTACTTTTAAAATATTTAGGGAAAATATTGCATTATTAATTTTCTTCAGAAATTCTTGGCATTGTATTTAATATTCATGCAATTTCTTAACCTTTCCCCTTTGTTTTATCATTGTATTGTCCTATATACCTTATTATGGCATTTTCCCTTATGCATGAATATATTACTCCATAGAAGAAAACGACCCCATTTCCCTAATATGAAATTAAACACACTAGTTGAACTACCTTTTCCAGGCCAAAATGTTTCTCATGAATTATATATTTAAAAAAGTAAATTCAATAAAAGATTTTACATTTGAAACTTGTCCCTCAATATTAGGAAACAAATGTTGCTAATTTGAATTTTTTATAATCTACTATGAGGTGAAGTTTCCCATATTAAAGGAATGTTTTATTTTCTGCTTGGTTGGTGACCTCAGTATTTTGATAAAAGTTGACTCAGGAAACTACTGTCATAAAGTCATGCTTTGCATAGGAAGAAACTATAGAGAGACAAATTATTCTGTGTCGACAACCTAAGTCCACAACACTGGCTGACTCACAATCTCATCATGCCCATAGAGTTAAGAAGAGGAATAAGGATAATATCAATAGTCAACAAGTAAACATTTATTCAACATTTACTACGTTTCTAAACATTTTACTATCACTGTTTCATCTGACCCTCAGAACAATCCTATAAAATAAATACTATCATTATTCCATTTTATAAATAAGTTTTAGAATGATTAACTAATTGATCCAAGAATGCATAGCTAGGAAGTACTGGAGCTAGGAATTAAGTAGACTGATTCCAGACTCTTACGTTTTTAATTACTAAGCTTTATTATATCTCCAGTGAAAATAGAGATATAACACTAAACATACTCTTTCCATAAGATCCCTTGGTATTTACCCAAATAAGATGAAAACTTCTATCCACACAAAAACCTGAATACGTTTATAACAGCTTTATTCATAGATGCCAATATTTGGAAGCAACCAAGGTGTTCTTCAGTATGTGAATGGATAAACTATGGTACATCCAGGCAATAGAATACTAGTGTTAAAAAGAAAGCGCTATCAAGCCGTGAAAAGACATGGAGGAAACTTAAATGTATATTACTTAGTGAAAGAAGCCAATCTGAAAAGGCAATAAATATATTGTATGATTCCAATTATATGACCTTCTGGAAAAGGCAAAAAAATGATATAGTAAAAAGTTCACTGGTTGCCAGGAGGGACAAATAGAAAGCCCAGAGGATTTTTAGGGCAGTGAAACTATTGTGTATGATACTGTAATGGTGGATACCTGTCATTATGCATTTGTCCAAACTCATAGAATATACAGCACCCAGAGAGAGCCCTGGACTTTGGATGATAATGACATGTCATTGTAGGTTCATGGATTATAACAAATGTACCACTCTGGTAGGGGGTGTTGATAGTGAGGGAGGTGGGGAGGCATATGGGAACTCGATGTACTTTCCGTACAATTTTGTTGTGAACCTAAAATTGTTCTGAAAAGTCTATTAAAAACAATAAGAGATTATTGGGTTGTCAGAAAAGTCATGACGCATTTTTGAAACAAAAAACATAGAAAAAATACTTCATGACTTTTCGACAACCCAATAGTTTCAGAATTGCCAATTACAGTTCCTGTCACTAGGCTCAGAAATCGACTGGGCATATTTTTAAATAGTGGTACATTTCCTGAGACATTTGTATTCCTTCTCATCATATAAGAATAATAGAATCAAGTATATGCTACTGTAGGCCTCTAGAATATACTAGAAGGATGTGATGTGTTTTTTCAGGTAGCTACTTTGCCAATACCCATAGGTAAATGTGGACCTAGAGGCAGTTAGGCAACTCTGGTCATTAAGTCAGATGTGGTGGTCTTAAATTTGGAATCCTGATTTAGTTTTAGTAGGGGAGAATTTATTTTAATTTTAAAATCATTTCAGTGTTTTGACAATACCATAGGGAGAAAGCACATCTGCTTATTCTCACCACCAAGAATACTTATTTTAGATGTAGATTTTCTAAATTTAATTGTTAATCTGTAGTTTCCACAAATTTTGGTACAATATTTCAAAGTCTATGTTCAAAACAGGGTGTTGGCAATTCATTGTAACTTGTTTAAATCCTTTGCTGCCTTTGGAAGTTTTCTTGAACAGCTGTTGACCAACAGGTAAATATACTGCTAAAGATTGAATCCTGGATATTAACTACACAGAATTTTTGCATGCACACACATCATGACTATTTGTCACATTCGTGATGCAGATCATGGGGTCTGACTTTCCTGTGACACTGCCTTTTAAAGATACTAAATCCAAGTAAACTATCCTTTTTCATTCCTTTAAATCAAATGAAGGCTTATGAGATTAAATATCTCATTACAATTACATAAGTAGACTTAGCTGATTCCTTTTTCATTTAATGAATAAAATCATCAAATTACCACTTCAGGCTATATTCCAGAAGTTAAGGTTTGATTCTAAGAAAAAGGATAGCTTATTGCACAGGGCCATATCAATGTTTCTTTACTGTTTGATAGGAAAAGAAATTCTGTTTTCTTAATGATTTGTTTCTTTCCTCTACCCTTAAAGATACCCATTCTAGAAATAAAATTGAAGATCTTCCCAGTTCTTGGAGTTGTAGGTGGAGCAATATTTTCCTGTTCAAATTACTTCCATGTTATCTTCCATGGTGGAGTTGGCAAGAATGGATCCACTATAGCAGTAAGACATTAATTTTATTATCATTTAGTATTAATTTTATGCTCAATTTTCTTATCATCATCTACGGAGATAATAAAAATATGCCAAAGTTCAGGAATGGGGAAGGGAACTAAATATCTTAAAGGATTCTTTTTAGGCATATAATACAAAAGCATTTTGGTGAACACACAATGTGCTATATAGATGACGTATTACAGAATTGTACACCTGAAACCTATGTAACTTTACTAACCATTGTCTTTACTAACTTTACTAACAACTTTAATTTTTAAAAAAAAGTTTAGACTGATAATAAAGCATTTTTCCTCTTTCTGCAGCCTTTCTGAGTAGACTTTTCTTACATTCCATTTGCTCATCCACTGTTTCATTACCGTACATAGTTAAGAATTGCCATTTGTTTTCTTAGATTTTGTGCCTTGCACTAATGAGAAAAGGTAGGGAATGAGTTGCTGTTGGAATGGCTGGAAAGCTGCCAGTAGTCATGATTTCACATATGAGGCAATTTATTGCTAATGAAGTAAATGCTGTTGAAATTTCACTGAAATATATTTTTTAAAACTATTCTAATATTTTAAAAGGTAACATTTTTAACCTTAATTCTTAAATTGAGTGGATAGACGTGTTTTGTGTACTTTGCTCCAGCTATAATACTTTTGTATTTATTCAATTTATTTGTTTTTTAAAACTTCTTTAGTGCTTACATGGGAGTCAGAATTCCTGTCAAGTTTTAAGAAAATATAATATCTGTGTTTTTAAAAAAAAACACGTTGTCACCGTCAAGAATATAAGTACTTATTCCAGTGATGCCATCTTCTATCAAAACGTTGTTGGAGTGTCTTTAGAATGACTTTAAGCTATGGCTCGTTCTCTTTAATTTCTTTGGTGCTGTAGTTCAAATTTTCTGTACTTTAAGGGTGAATTTAATTTTGAAAAAAAAAAGTCATTTGGAGCTAGGTCTAATAAATAAGAGGAATAATAAATACGAAATACAGCATTTTTAGTTTTAAAAAGTCTCATCCTCTTAAATGACATGAATTAACTCTCAAGACAATTCCAAAGGAATCCACATAATTCATAAATTATCAATCCTTATGAATACATTTTGTATACATAACTCAAAAACACAGTATAACACTCAGATATATATGTTCTGATATATTTTGAAAAATTAATGTGTTGTTTTTTGAGGCGTTTTGTCTGTTGACCTCAGTATAGTACTATGCATAAAGTGCTTAGAAATACTTGTTGGTTGGCCATGAATGATAGAATAGAGTCACACTAAAGAAAATACGATTTAGCAAGGATCGGTGTCCACTTTAGAGAATATTTTACTAAGAAATAATTGATTAAATGTGTGAAGGAAAACAAGAAATCAAATACTATGACTAAGAAGTGGTTGATTTAAAACTCTTAAACTGGTGGTTTTCCAAATGTTTTAGCAGATTTTCTTGAATCAAACCTACAGAGCCATAATACAGATAAAAGTACTATTTTATTAGCCTAAAATTTTATTACTATATAGTGTTTTATTATATGATTTTATAGTAAGTTATAATTTATAACATGTAAACTTAAATAAGTCTTTCTAATGAACACATTTAAATTGGTGGTTAAAGATTTAGTAAGTCATATTACCAAAATTCGGTATTTTGTTCAGGATAAGCAGTACTGAGAGAATCCTGATTCACTTAGGTAAAAATGTAATGGATTGGATTGTACGGACATTTGCCATCTAAATGCAAAAAACGGGGGGAGGAGGGGGTTGGTATAGAGAGAGACCAAGGCAGAATTAAGTTCTTCCTGATCAGTGATTAAAATATTCTGTGAAACAGATCAAGCTTTATTTCAATATCTGGGCAAAAGTATGTTAACTTGGAAATCCAAGTGTTGATGGCCTTTTAGCATAGTAAAGTTTGGTACAAAATAAATTATATTGTTATTTTTTAGTGTTTATGAGTTCAAAATGTGTATGTATATAAAATTGGAATCATCATCGGTGGCACGGTATTACATCTGTATAACCCTAGGGTTCTGTGAAAGTTTGAAAAGTACTGCTAAGGCCTGTATACTCATGTAAGCCATACATTACATCATACTCTTCTTTAGGTCTCTGGTTCCTGGTACAAAACACATGCTCAGAAAATGCAGTGTAATAAGTGCAATGTTAAAATGTGATGTTGATTTTCTGCTTTGTTCATTAGGGCACCAGTGTTTTGTCACCTGGACTTCACATAGGAATCATTATTATACTGGCAATAATGATCTATAAAAAGTCAGCAACTAATGTGTTTGAAAAGCATCCTTGTCTTTATACCCTAATGTTTGGATGTGTCTTTGCTAAAGTCGCACAAAAATTGGTGGTAAGAAATTCTTTTAATTTTTATGATTGATGGTATAAGTAACATACTTGGTCCTCAAACATAAAGCTGGAAACCATTTCATACAATGGGTAGGTTTTTTGTGGTGTTATCATCACAAAATATATTTACCTATTTGTGCTCCAAGTAAAACTGTAAAAGAATTAATGTTATGTTCAGGGAGACAGACTCTTTAAAGTAAGTTCTTTCAATTATTTGCTTAGCTGTAATTATCAACTATAACTCTCTGATATCAAGGAATTTAAATATTGGACTTTAATAAGCTGCTTAGTCATCCATTCATGAATTTGAGAATTTTTAGCTTCAGTATTATATCAAATGTGAAATTAAATGGTCTCTTTATCCTTATTTAATAGTGAGTTAATGTTATAATCAATTCTGTCCTGAAAATAAAAGCTAAACTGTTTAAAATTTAATAGTGAAATTATCTTGTTTACTTTTTTATAGATAGCTCACATGACTAAAAGTGAACTGCATCTTCAAGACACTGTCTTTTTTGGCCCAGGTCTTTTAATTTTAGACCAATACTTTAATAATTTTGTAGACGAATATGTTGTTCTATGGATAGCAATGGTAAGTTCTTTTCTGCTAAGATTTTTATTTATTTTTAACATGTCAAATAGCACTATGATTAGGAGTCATTTCAGTGAAATATCAGGTAGTCTCACTATACAGTAAATATTTCTGTAAAATTACTTCTTTTAAGCTGTGAACTGTTTTTTATTGAGTATAGAAGTGGAGGTCTTGCTTCCAACAACCTAAATCCTTAAAAGTATAACTGTGTACCTTAAAAATAACTATATCTTTCTTCCCCCCCAAAAATAGTAAAAAGATGTCAAAAAACCACTTTACTTCGCCCAAAAGACGCTAACATTTACTAATGTCTGACTTTTACTCAATCAAGCTTGTTGGAATTATTCCGAGCTTATAGCAGATAACAGGTAAATTAGATGGAGTTAGTGTTAGCAAAGGTGGGCACTTATTGCATCAAGAACTGTCAGCTAATATTGAGGAAATGAAACAGAACCGACAGTATTACCAAGTACAAGATTCTGGGAACATTTTGTGCTAGAAGCAAGCAACCCTATATATCTGTATGGCCCTTGAGTAGTGCATAATTTATATTAATAATGACGACTCTCTTCAAAGATTAAATTCTCATTACATCCTGCTTCAGAAAGTGATATGGATAATACATATATTCAAAATAGTCATTATTATTCAAAATGATTATATAGAATTATGGTCTTAAGGCAGAACCTTTAGCCATAAGAAGAAAATCATTTTGGTAACACCTTAATCACAAAAGTGGATAAAGGAAGCATTATTAATTTTTTTATTTTATTGAGACCTCTTTATGGTTGGTCTTCAATGAATGGTGGTTTTGAGCAATTCTGTGCTTTTCCCTACCGCAACCTCCCTGGCCTTCACTAAATTGTTAAGTAATATGTAAACACATGTTAAAGTGCACTAAAAGAAACCCTGCAGTGAATCTTTTGATAATTTGAATAATCTCACCCTCTTTGTTAGATTTAGGCACTAAACAACTATATCTGTTCTGTGCGTAGATCACTTGGGTATATCTGATGATCCTTTATACTAGGTTCTAGCAGCGGTTCTCAACCTGTGGGTCGCGACCCCTTTGGGGGTTGAACGACCCTTTCACAGGGGTCGCCTAAGACCATCGGAAACCGATATTTACATTATGATTCATAACAGTAGCAAAATGACAGTTATAGAGGAGCAACAAAAATAATTTTATGGTTGGGGGTCACCACAACATGAGGAACTGTACTAAGGGGTCACAGCATTAGGAAGGTTGAGAACTGCTGTTCTATATAGTATTATACATTTTTCTGGAGCAAATTAATAATTTAATATCCATTCATGGTCCATTCAAGTCTTCCATTCTTCAAATGGTAAAATGTAAATCTTAATCCTTGAAAGATTTTCAGGCAATATTCTAAAAAGTGTTTGCAAATCAGAATAATTTCCTTTAATTTGCTGTCCACTTTAAATACTTTTAGAGCTTTTAAACAGTCTAAGTTTAAGAAATAGGGAGTGATTATTCAAAATATCTGAAAATACAATGTAGGGTTTCTTTTAGTGAATTCAAATAAGTACAATAATACCGCAGTATAATTTTGTATATGCCTCCCCTCAACTATTATCTTTCCCAGGCATTTACTTTTTAAAACTAAACTCAAAGGAATAAAAAATGTATATGATGGAATAATTTCATTATAATGACTGATAACCCCTTCTAGTAGACATTTGTGGCTTTGTTACACAGTAGAAAATTGAAAGAAGGTGGAGTCAAGATATGCATTACTTTCCAGCTTTTCTATTTTATTATAGGCTTTTACCGCTCTGAGCCTCAGTTACTATAACTGAAATACCCTGCATATTCCAGAAGACTATATAGTGAGGTCCAAATGTGAAATATATGACAGTACTCTAAAATGTAATTTTTCAGTGAAGAATTTTGGGTTAAGGTTTGAGATTGGCAGAGGGCAGAAAAATTGCTGCTGCTTAAAAAAAGAAATACAACATAATCTATTTTATATTTTCTTTTTTTGCTTCTAAAGGTCATTTCTTCATTTGATATGATGATGTACTTCAGTGCTTTGTGCCTGCAAATTTCAAGACATCTTCATCTAAATATCTTCAAGACTTCATGTCATCAAGCACCTGAACAGGTTCACAAGCATATTGACTAATAGCCCAAGGAAAAGAGGAGAAGCAGTTAGGGGAACCTAGGAGTGAAGGAAATCCCCTTTTGCAGGAGGCTAGTATACTATGAAATAAGGTTATATTTGAATATAAAACATTAAGTCCTATAGATTCCATTATGTCTATTTCAGTTGTTAAGACCTCATTATGCATCAGTATTTTTGACCACAGATGTTATCCGAGTAATACAATCTATAAATTAGAAACATAACCAAAGAAAGAAATTTCAATTTTCTGAGAGTACGAAAGTGAACCACTATAGTTCTAAATAACAATTTCTTTGATTCAGAAATCCTTATTAGACACTTGGGATTTTCATTGCCCAATGATTACATAAAAATTCAGGACTTAAAGGATTGTAGCCATGTTGAGGGTGATGCTTACTTTGATTGCTAAAAATTGATGAGTTTATAATATTGCATAAGTGCATGGATTGTAATACTCTTAATTATTGAGTCAAATGATGCTAGAGAAATGATTTTTTATTAGCCTTTTTTCAAAAGAGGTATGTTAGTATCATAAAAGTAAATACTTGCTTTAATATGCCAACTAGAATTTAATTAAAAGGGCTACTGGAATTTTCTACAAATTTGTATTTAGTAAAAGGAACTTTTGTCTTACCAGTTCAGAAAAACAAATGAATCTTTACAGTGAAGGTAATTTGTTCCTTGATAATTTTGAGTTGAAATTTCATTGTCACAAAAAGGTGGACGTTGAACATTCCCTTTTATGAAAATAATACAGTAGCTAAAGCACAGTTGACATATAAGAAAATTAGTAATTTATGAAAACATGGCAAAATCATCTTCCCTTCAGGATATCAGCCAACGTTACTTGAAGTATACATTTCATTTGAGGTTAAAAAGGGGGTAAAATAAAATCAGTTATTCAACCACTAAGTACTTTCATTTAAAAATATTTATAGTGCTCATTATGAATGACAGAACTACCACAAGGATGTTTGGTGATCCAAATCCTGACTCCCATCTTACCCTATGTTTAATTTTATCCAAGTTCTGTAGACCATAAGCCATATGGTGAAAGAATTAAAAAAAAAAAGTAAATGATTAATGAACATGTACTATATCTTAAGGAAGAAAAAGACATGAATGAAAAAAAAAACTGAAAATTGATATTCCTTAAGAGGAAGAAATATATATTTATGTGAATTAAGTACACAGAAAACACTCCAGAGTACTGATTTTGCCCCTGTAACTATTGGTAAAATTAAATAAGGACCCTCTTCGAAATTTGAGTATTTGAGATTTATATTCTGGATACTTTGGCTTAAAAGGGAAATCCTTAACAACATGCAAAAATTTAGGAAGTAAACAGTCCCTAGTGTCAGATATTCGTTAATCGTGGCAGACTAATTTCTTCCTATGTATCACAGAAAAAGAGAATCAGTATGAACTTGTTTTTAAAAACTTTGAAAATCTTAAAACTAAGATAAGAGTGAATTACATGGGCAAAATTATTTCATGCATTATTATTTGTTTTGATGATTCAGTGAAAGCAATTTGAGCAAGAAAATCGTAAGTTTGACTTATTTCAAACAAAAGCTGAAACAATTTAATATTTATTAAATCAAATGTTTCATGTTATCTTATGAGACATTTTTAAAGACAAGGTATAAGAATTAACTTCATTTGGAAATGAATATAAAATCAAACTTCTATATATTTACTCAATATTAAAATTGAAAAAAACATTCTTGGTAATTTATCTTTGAAGACTGATGTGAAGTACTTAAACCATAAGTAATTAGGTATGTTAATGATATGCTCTTAATCATTATTACAGGCATGTGCCATTTAATTGTGGAACAAGCCTAATTAAATGGCATTTTGATGTCTTTGTGGGAATGACATATTCACTAATCCATATTTTAAAAGTGATATTTATATATGGTTTTTATCAGTTTTATTCCACAACACAAACTTAAGTTGCTTTTAATAAATTTTATAAGTCAATAGTTTCTTTTGAAATCTTATTGTTAGAACTGGCTGTGTAACTTAATGACTATATACAAAAGGATGTACATGTAAAATAGATTGTTTTTCTTAAAGAAGAACAATGTAACCTTCTATACTTGTGCTTCCTACTTTTTGGGACTGACAAGAGAGACACTGAAGACAAACTGGAAATTAAGTAATCTTTATTGCTAAAAGTTAATTGGCAAGTGTTAGAGAGAAAAATTCACTATTACTATTAAAGAGCAGAAAGCTTGGTACATATAATTTAGAAATTGCTGCTACTCACATAACTGTTCAGATTTTATTTGGAGGTTAACAGAAAGAAGAGGCTTGAACTTAAGCTGATGATAAACAAGATGTAATGTTTAAACTAGAATTTTTAAACCACTCTGAAGATTTACATGCCCCTTAGCTAATATTATAATTGTATCATATTACTTAGGTTCAAGTTCTTCCTTCAAAGAATCATCAGAATAACGTGGATTGAAGAGACTTTCGAACAGCTGCCGTCTCTTGCTGCTGCTGTTACATGAAAGGAAGTATTAAACGTTTGTTTAATTTTTAGATAAGTGTTATTACATATTTCAACAAATAAAACATTTCAACGCTTACATTAATCCTTATTTTTTGGATTTTACAGGACTTACAGTTTCCATCAAACATTTTTTTTGCATCATAGCCATTTCATTTCTAAGTTCATTTTGTGCCTCAGTATCTAGATTCTTCTCCAAGTCTTCCATAGTCTAAAACACAAAAGGCTATGTTCAGTTACAAACCACTACTTTTCATCTCAGGTTCTAAACTTGTACAATTTTCAAAAGGAGGAATTTTTTAATATTCAAATCATGTACATTATTTATTCCAAATAAAAATATTCTAAGTAATACATCAAAACCAAAATACCCACTAAAAGATTAAAAAGTGTCAGACAAGAATCAAATATTATTATAGGAGGTTATAACAGCAGTGTAGTGTACTTTGCTTGAAACAGTGGGTTCGTGAATTAAGGTTTCAATATCGAACATAAAAAGGAAAAAGTCCCAAATCAATAAATATGATCATTTTGAAAATTTATAATAAGTTTTCTAAATATCAGGTGGTAATCCACTTATTATGACTAATAGTCAAATGTGATGTGAATTCATTAAAGGGAATAAAATGATCTGTAGTATACCTCTTCAATTTATGAAAAATAAAAATTATGTTATCAACCTTTACTAATCCAATAAATAGTGATCCTGATGCCTACTATGTAAAAAGTACTATGCTAAGTGCTGTGGAGAAATTTAAAATAACACATTATCATTCCCTTATTCCAGTGAGAAGAAACATGAATAAAAAATAATACAAAACTTTATAATAGGAATGGAAACACAACTTGCTGTGGCTATGTAGTAGAAAATGGAGATTAATTCTAATTTAGTTGGCAAAAGAATACGATTTCAGTAGATAAAGAAAAAGGAGTTAAAAGTATTCTAGGGCAAAAAGCATAAGCAAAAGCATAGTGAGTGAGTTCAGAGAAAGCATTAATTATGTTGAGGGGTGAAAGTAATGAACAAATGTAGTAACTGAAACATAAAAAGAGGATCACATTATTGGGTGGAGGGAATCTTGAATACCTAAAAATTTATAAGAAGAAGCTACTGACAGTTTTTGAGGAGGGAAGAAATGTTTTAATAAGATAATGTAGACCTATGATGAATGGATTAGAGAACAGAAAAATCAGCATATTAATATAAGCAAAGAATGATGAGGTTCTGAACTAGGACAGTAGCAGTGGAAATTTTTTAAAAAAAGAACGAACCACGGGAGAGGTAAAAATTGCAGAACCTACTATTAGATGTGACAAATAAGGGAGGTAGAGGAGTCAAATATAATATTAAAGTTCCTATCCTAAGTGGTAACATTTAGTGATAGTATTTAGAAGAAATCTTTTCTAGTACTTTATCAAATCTTCACACCAATCAACAAATGGTTTTCAGGGAGGTATTAGAGCAAGCTGATTGGAAGCAATTTAAAAATAAAAAACTTTTGTGTTCAGATATATTATTTTAAAGTTCTTTAAAAATATTTGTTTGGGCCGGCCGAGTGGCTCAGTTGGTTAAGAGCTTGCTCAAGACTGCGAGCTCAGCAACAGGGTTGCCGGTTTGATTCCCACATGAGCCAGTGAGCTGCGCCTGAGCTGCCAACAGGTGGCAGGATGGCTCAGCTGGTGAGAGCACGTGCTCCTAACAACAAGGTTGCTTGTTCGAGATGGTGGGCTATGCCTGCACGCAACTAAAGACTGAACTTGGCTGCCTGCCATCTGGGTGGCTCAGAGGATAGAGTGCGCGCTCTTAACAACGAGGCTGCTGGTTCGACTCCTGCATGGGATGGTGGCTACGCCCACTCGCAACTAACTGAACACAGCACCTTGAGCTGAGCGCGTGCAACTGGACTTGGAGCTGAGCTTGCTGTGTCCTCCACAACTAAGACTGAATGAAGGACAACAACTTGGCTGTTCCCCTCCCCCAATTCCCCAATAAAATCTTTTTAAAAAAAATTTGTTTTAAAACTATTTTACTAGTTTACTCAGAGAATACCAATTCCTTTAGAAGGGTGATATTTTTACATGTATTTGAAAAAGATTTTCTAAAAGAACCCCCATCCAAAAGAAAGCATATGCAGGATTCCAATGTACTCATGAAAAATTACTAAAAAACAAACAAAAAATATATATATGAATGAATAAGAGGTCAATGCCACAGACCACAATTTCTTAATATACATGTGTAATTAGATAATTCTCAATCCAAAAATTTTTAATCCTCAACAGGCTTTTTCATTCTATGTCTCTGCCATCTCTTATAAGTTGCCATATAAAGCCATTTTTAGTCACTGGAATGTTTCTAAAAGCACATGTGCCATAAAATACATACATAATAATTTGAAAATATCAATTTCAATAGGTACTTTCTATATAACAAACACGGGACATAAAGATAAGACTACATAAAAATGATTTATAGACTTTCTATTTTTAGTTGAATAGAGAACTATCACCAGTGTTAATAAAGGATGAATTTATGAACAATATGTACAATTTTTATTTAAAATTCCCATTTCACCATTTCCTGTTTTCATTAATTCCCCCAAAACAGAATCCTAAAAAAAATACTTTTAGCACTTAAAAACAATACATTAGAAATGGATAGTTAAGAATTTGGGTTGTCGGAAAAGTCATGACGCATTTTTGCGACGAAAAACAACAAAAGTACGTCATGACTTTTCCGACAACCCAATAAGCAAAATGTTCTTTCCTAGACTTGGAAAACATTATCTTCTACTTCCATACATTTTTTATAAGGATATACTGTGCTACCAAATGCAACAGACCTTTATGAATTGCTCATATAATTGTCTAATTGTTTTCAGTTTCTGGCTCTGAACAATCCTAGCTTGTTGAAGTGTCTTTCGTTGCTGTTGAAAAAGGTTCTACAAAAGCAAAAGAAAAAATTATGTGATAATAATTTGAGTAAAATTTTAAATTTAGCAAAAAGTAAGCTTAAAAGGAATAGTTTAAAATCAATACATTTAAAATTTTGCTTTAACGTCATGACCAAATTTAGATAATTTATATTCACCACTAATATAAAACAAAAATATAATAATCCTACCAGTCATTGAATAGAAAATTTGAATACTCAAAATATGTCTTAATTCTTGGTGCTTTCGATATCAACAGAGATGATCCTTCCAAAAATGCTGGTCTCTCAGTTCCTTGGTCTACTTTCCAGCAATGATTTTTATCCTCCACCCTACTTTAGCCACTCACATATTTCATATGCTAGATTTTGCCATTACCAATAACTATAACCTCTATATAGTACTGATAATAGCAAAATTCATATTAACAATGTATTAGATACTACTCTGAAGCCTTTTAAATAAACATATACGAACTCATTTAAATTCTATGAGATAGATACTCTTATTATCCCCCTTTTGCAGATGAGGAAAATGAGTCAAAGAAAAATTTTCCATAGTTTCACAGAATCCAGGCTCTAACCATTATTCTATACTGTTTCTCCACATATCCCACAATTCAACTACTACCTCCCTACTATTCTAGCTTACTCTTTTTAGTAATACAGCTCAGTAATCTCAAGAGCTAAAATCTATTCATCTTACTTACTTTTCACTGTCCCCTATCCCTATTCCCATGTCATTTTCCTCTTTCCCAGTGTAAATTCTATGGTCAATCATTATTACTCCTTGGGATATATAGCTTGTTCCCTCCTTACTCTGTCATACTTGTTTGGCTAAACCCCAACTCTAGCTACTCTGCCTGCATCCCTGCAGATGGTCATAACTGAAGAAAAACTTACAACATGCTAATAGGTCTCACTTTAAATCATGATCAATAGCCTAAATTGGACCCATAATGTTGCTTGTCAATTGTATTTCCTTAATTTATTTACTGGCCCACTCTCAAGAAAGCATTTTATACCTTTTCATTTGACCTCAAAAGGCAACATAGTCTATCATCTGATAACCTTAGTTATTTCACTAAAGAAAGAAGCATTCCAAAGAGGACTTTCAGTCTCCCATCACCATTATCTACCCACCCACCTACATCCCTCTGTGCTCATACTTTACCTTCTCTCCTATTTTTAAGGATGAACTATACTTGTTCCCTGCTAAGGCCAACTTCTTCACATGTCCCATCCATTCTCAAGAATTCAGCAAATGTCCCCCCTTTCCATTTTTTATTTTTCCCTCAAAAATATTCCTAACAGCATACAAACATGCTGGTCTTGCTCCATTCTTAAAAAGTATAAAATAAAACACACTTCTTTTTCTACTCAGTCTACCACCCCATTTCTTTCCCATTCTCTCAAACTCATTCCAATTGGGTTTTTGCACTCACTGCTCCACCAAAATCATTCTGTTCAAGACTGATCGGAATCATTCTGATCAACAGCAATGACCTTTACATTGCCAAATCTAACTTATTTGGCTCATAAGCAGCATATAAAAAGTTAATCCACTCTCCTTAAAAGGCTTTACTTTGCTTACAGCTGTTTTCTTTCTACCTATTGGGCCACTTAGTCTTTACCCGTTTTCCTCATCTTCTTGAACTCTCAAACACTGAAGTACGTACTTACTCCAGGGCTCAGCCCTTGTCTTTTACATTTACAATCACTCATTTGCCCTTAGCAGGAAACAAGGATAGTTCATCCTTAAGAGCAGGTGAGAAGGTAAAGCATATGAGCACAGAGGGATGGATGTAGGTGGGTGGGTAGATATGGTGATGGGAAATTGAAAGAATTCCCAACTTTGAATATTCAACCCATATCTCTTTCCTGAACTCCAGACTCATACCAGTGGCCTACTCAACATCTCCCTTCGTTTCAGATGCCTGTTTCATATGCATCTTAAACATTTCCAAAACAGCTGATCAACCAACCCCTAAAATGATGTAATATGAATAACACCTTAGCTCTTAGATAAGAAATGTGATAATTTCACAATGAAAGGATAAAGTAAAAGGATACTTAATGTAGTTATATATGACTTCGATCTCCTATAGAAATGGGCAGGTAACAAATCTAGCCATTAAGAGCAAACCATGTTTTGATCATAAGGACTGGTTCAGGAATTGACAATCCAAATTAGTCAGTGATATTCCTCTAGAGGACTTTTATGCCAGAGTTACTGAGAAAGACTATCTAAGTCCACTAGGGTTACTAAACTTGTAGTTAAATCTGGGATTGCAAGAAGCTACTTTGCTTACCACATTGAGAGAGCCTACTATGAACTGGAGACAGAACCATGATACTATTGGGTTGTCAGAAAAGTCATGATGTATTTTTTCTGGTTTTCATTGGAAAAATGCGTCTTGACTTCTGACAACCAAATACATGAACAATCCTCCCTCACCTCATCCAGCTATGCCTGAAGCTAACCTACCCCTGGACTTCTTTTATATAAACCAATAATCTTCCTTTTGTGCTTGGACAAATTTCTGTCACTTGGAACTGCAAGAATCCCAACCAATATAGGAAGCAAAGACCAACAGCTTTTATGAGAATGGTATGTGCCTCTACTACTCTGATTTACCATTCAGCAGGACCAAAACATACAGCCAGCAATGGGTAATGGAAACTGGCCAAGCTCTATGGATCTCCTCCTACAAGGCTATGCTCTCCATTCCTACTTGACTCTTGGTAATGATAGATTAATTATAAAGCTAAGCATGATACTAACAGCTAGTTTTTCTTCTCGTTCCTTAGTTTTCTGCATATCTGTCTCCCACTGCTGAAGCAAAGTCATAAACTCCTGAGAATAGTTTTGGTAAAGCTTCTTTCTGTAAAATATAATAACAAATATTGTCATATTTCATGGGAAAAAAATCATTCAAAACAAAATTCACTTTACCTAGTTTATACTATAATAAAAGAAGGAAATAATAGGACCTTAAAATTTCAGATATGAAATCAAGAAGTAAAATTATGGGGCCGGCTGAGTGGGTCAGTTGGTTAATAGCACGAGCTCTGAGCAACAGGGTCGCTGGTTCGATTCCCACATGGGCCAGTGAGCTGTGCCCGAGCTGAGTGGCCACGAGCTGCCATGGGTGGCCAGATGGCGACTGAACTTACTAGCTGCGCCCTCCACAACTAAGATTGAAGGACAACAACTTGGCTGTTCCCCTTCCCCAATTCTTCAATAAAATCTTTTAAAAAATAAAAGTAAAATTATGATTATTGCTGATTCCAGAAGTATTTATTTTCCTAACCAGCTAACAGAAAAGCCCTCACATGCTTTAGCTCTTTAAAATTAAGCAAGTTTTATTGTATATATAAATTTTCCAGAAAATTTCATTTTACTGCCAAGCAGTTTATTTTTAATTTCCTCCTAATATGGATCCTGAAAAATAGATTCAATGAAGTTATATTTATCATATAAGATTTCCAAATAAACATGTTTCATTTATTTTTTTCCCCCATTTTGGTACAACGATTTTATACAAAAGAATTCAGCTAAATATTCAGCTAAAATATATAAATTATTTACAATATAAGATTGATCTTTTTCTACACTGTTAAACAGTTAACTATCACAAAGCTAATGGTTTATATGGCATTTACTTTTTATTCAGCTAGTGTATTTCTATAGCAAAAACTCCTCCATCTTTATTTAATTGGATAAAGGCAATCTTGATTAATTTCTAGGAAATATATCTCCAGTCTATGAAGTAGTGAGGTTATAGGACTAAAGGATTTAAGAGAAAAAAATCAAACCTAATATATTTTTTACTGGAGACCCCAGTAAATATAAGATATTTTTCATAATTTGCACGAATGAATACTATGAAATGATAGGCTGTGAATGAACCAACAACCATACCTTTTCTCTTGTTGGATTTTCCAAACATTTTCAACTCTCTGGTTACTGGTTTTGCAAGAAGATTTGGCATACATTTCTAGTTTTTTTCTCTTGGTAACAAGAGCCTCGTCAATATCAGCTATATGGAAAGTAAATATTAAAATTTAATGTTGAAGAAAATTACATATTTTGTTCCCACACATTCAAGGAAATATGGGTAAAGTTGGTTCAACAGTTTCAGAAAGACATTTAAAATTAAATCTTAAAATAGACAATAGCAAAAGCAAGGTTATTTGCTTCTTGATAACTTTTAGTTATTATTATCCCAGTTCTGATTTTCCTAGCTAGATTTTTTAATTTTTATTTATAGATGGTTAAAAAGAGCTAATAAAAGAAAAAGGAGTCTCAAGGACTAATTTCCTCATGAGAAAACACACGGTTAAATTTTTCTAAATTTATAAAATATTTTCCAACTGAAAGAACACATTTAGATGAATTATTGTTAGACTCATTATATGAAACACACAAAACTTTTAAAAAAAAGATAAAAATAGTTAAAGAATAAGAAAATTACTTGTTTTAAATATAGTCAATGATACTTTTAAGCATATCATTTGCTAAAAGAGACAAAGACCAAGCATAGAAAAAAAAAATTTTTTTTAAGGTTTTATTGGGGAATTGGGGGAGGGAACAGTGTTGGGGAATCAAGGAAGGGAAACAGACAAGTTGCTGTCCTTTTGTTCTTCAGTCTAGTTGTGGAGGACGTTGCTTCACTGGCCCATTGTTGGTATTATCATTGTGCTCTTCCAGGGTGATGCAGTCACTTGCTGGCCATTGGATGGCTGTTCACGGCGGCTCACAGTAGCTCACGAAAGCATCCGGCCAGCGCCAATGCAGCCTATGCCATCTCCAGCGACTCACGGCAGTCCAGCTAAAGGTTGAGCTATTGTTCACCATCTTAGATGTAGAGGGTGCAGCGTCACTGGTCCTAATGTGGGATCTGAACTGGGGCCCTGCTGCTCAGAGCTGGCATCTCAAGACAAGTCCTAACCAACGCGCCACTCGGCCGGCCCGATTTTAGTCTTAATTGAAGTAAATATCGATTGGGTTGTCAGAAAAGTTATGGCGTATTTTGTCTATGTTTTTCATAGGTCATTTATCTATATAAAGAACAAAGACAGGGCCGGCTGAGTGGCTCAGTTGGTTAAGAGCTCGCTCAAGAGTTTGAGCTCTGAGCAACAGCGGTTCGAGTCAGCCCGAGCTGAGCAGCCGTGAGCTGCCAACAGGTGGCGGGATGGCTCAGCTAAAAAAAAAAAAAAAAAAAGAACAAAGACAATCAATGATATATTGCCCATTTTGTTCGATAACATTTTGCCATCTTTCAGTGAGCTTCATAATTCCTTGTTCATAGAAGAACCTGTCTTTGCGAAAAACTGAACAAGGTGCTGATTTACAGCCTCATCTGAATTGAATGTTATACCATGCAAGGAGTTTTGAAGACAGCGAGACAAGTGGAAGTCTGAAGGCGCAAGGTCAGGCGAGTATGGTGGGTGTGGCAACACATCCCATCCAAGCTCCAATCATTTTTGACGGGTGATCAAACTTGTGTGTGGTCTCGCGTTGTCGCGATGGAGCACAACTCCTTTACAGTTAACAAGCTCTGGATGTTTCTGGATGATGGATTCGTTCAAACTGTCCAATTCCCGACATACACATTTGAATTGATTGTTTGGTTCCTTGGTAGGAGCTCACAAAAACACAATCCTTTAAAATCCCAACACACTGAGAGCATAACCTTCCTCTGATGAATGTCTGCTTTCGATGTCGTTTGGGGCGAATCATCACATTCGGGACCAAGACCGTTTGCGTGCCACATTGTTGTAAACAATCCACTTCTCATCACCAGTTATCAGTCACTTCGAAAAAGGACCGTTTTTCTCACATTTAATGAGCATATTGCAGATGTTTGTACACGCCATCAAATGAACTTCTTTAGGTCCATGCGGAACCCAAATATTGAGCTTGCTTACATATCCCAGCTTCTTCAGGTGGTTGTGAATGCTTGAACGATGGATGTTCAATGTTTCTCAATCTCTTGTGTCATGTAATGTGGGTTTGACTCGATCAATGCCTTTACTTTGTCGTCATCAACCTCGATGGGCCTCCCTGACCGAGGAGCATCGTTGAGATCAAAATCACCAGCACGAAATCTCGTGAACCATCGTTGGCACTGATGTTCTTGTAGAGCATTGTCACCGTAAACTTTATGCAACTTTCCACAAGCTTCACATGCGTTCTTCCCTTTATAGAAGTAAAACAGTAAAGTATGGTAAAAATGAACAGTTTGGTCTTCCATCTTCAACTTGTAAAATCTCCAAAACTCACCCAAATCGCTCAATTTTTTTTAGAATGAAGCTAGAACTGTCAGCTGTCAAATGACATAGCAATAACATAGATGTGAATACTAGAGTCTAGGACTTCCAAAAATGAAGGAGTGCCCTCTGTTGCAAACATGCGTCATGACTTTTCTGACAACCCAATAGATCCGTTCAAGAACCATTTAAAATACTTTTGTGGAATTTTTTATAGGACATTTTTACCCATAAGTACTGCATTTCATAAAATTTTTAATACTTCAAATAATGTTTTTCTAAACATGTACATATGGATGTACCATCAATAGCTATTTTTCAGTAATTGTGATGGAGCTGCATTATTATATAAATGTTTCCAATATCCATCGGTAACAATAAATATATAAGCCCGATTACAAAACAAGCATTTTGCCACAACCAAATCGAGCAGGATTTTCAAGCATTCAAAAGACTTGATTGTATAAATAACCTATATCGAGAAGCCAAACATTGACTTGTTATGAGTACTATATACCCTAATACAGTTAACGTAACTGATATTTGACATACCACTTAAAGTTTATGAACTTTTCATCTGATTATATATCTCTTACTAGCTAGCAAGGCTGCCTTAATTCTCAACTACGTAGTTTAATAATGTAAAAATAACAATAAAGACTTATTTTAAAGGCTTCAATTTATACTGCCCCTGATAAAGAAAAGAACAACAGAATGTCAGAGAATATAACTAAATTGAGAAAATGGAAAACTGACATACATACCCATGTGTGTTCGTATCACTTAGTCTGTGGAAAAGTCTGCAAAAGTCCATGCAAAACGGGGTAGAGTTTTCCCATCATTTTGTTCTAAAATTCCACAGTCCATTAAATTCACATATATATAAAATAAAAGCACCACTGCTAGTAAAAGTACTCACCATTGTTAGTACCATTTGTACTCTTCACATCCACAACTGGAAAAGGTTAAGTAAGGAAATCTATGAAGCTGAATCTCATATACTTATGCAAAATCTTATATTTGAGAACAAGGCATAAATGACAGTCTTGAGTACAGTTGATCAGAATTTCGTATTATACAAATTATATGGTTTAAAATAATTTTCTTTAAATACAGGTATCTCCTAAAAACATACCTCGAAATCTTTCCAGCATATTCGGTATGCCATCCCTGTGAAGAAAGTTCATTTAAAAACTTAATTAAGGACCCAGAAAATATCATACTTAATATCATAAAATATCACTCAGTATTTTACATATAATACTCATTGGCAAAATAAACTTTTCTTAAAGTACTTAGTATCTAACAGGCAAAAATTATTATAAGCACATTACCCGATATCTTCAACTATTCCTGCAGAACTCCTTTTCTTCCCCTGCTTATCAATTACTGGAGTCTTCTCTGCATTAATAAAAAATAAATACATTTTTGAAATTATACTATTTTGGTAATTTTTAATGAAGAAATATCTTAATTTTGAGGTCTTTTAAGCATTTTATCAACATGAGTTTTTAAAGCAGATATATAAATGCAAAACTTTCTCTGCAGGTTAGGTGAAATTAAGAACCATGACCATTTTATGTGAACAATTTTGTAAGTCTTCCTGTGGTAATGTCATAATAAGCCATTTATCAGACATTTTGGGAATAATGACTGCAAAAGCAAGAGATGCTATACAAGCTACTCTAACTCCAAATGAAGTTTTATTACAGTTTAAAATGCAGTAGGTTCTCTTATGGCCACACCACCCTGAACACGACCGATCTAGTCTAAAATGCAGTAGGTTCAACATAAATGAACTACAGGACATGGGCACTGCCCAACGATATTAGATATACTGTACCATCAGTAACACCCTCTGAAACACACAGATCTTCATCTTCTTTCTCAGAGTCATAGGCTCTTCTAATCTGATCCTCCATTGATGTCTTCCCAGACTTCCTGGTATGTTTTCTTCCAGAGGGCACCATATCTAGATGTTCTCCGCCTTTTAAAAAATAAATCTCTCAAACCTTCCGAATCCAAAGACACCATTTAAATAAACTGGTAAATTTCAAAATTAGAGATATCAAATAAAGATTATCTTAGTTCAACAACATTTTAGGAGTCTCATTTATTTTGGTGGACCCAAAGCTAACAATAAAATGAGAGCGTCAACCCTGCTAGCAGGTGTGCTGCTATGAAGAGCTCGCATCTGAGGGCTGCCAGATGCGAATTTTATCCCGCCTCTGCTAGAGTCTGGCTAAATTTGAGCCATCTAGTTTTTGCATTTCAGTCACAAAGTGAAATCGTAGTTGGCAGGATCGATCATAAGCATGCCAAAAAAACCTTACAGCAACATAAATATAAAATAAAAACATTCTGTAATCTGTGTCGTGGAAAATTAACGTCCATATAAGATTTACGCAACACACGCATTGAGGACAAATGAAGAGTGGCCCTTAATTTCAATTGTTTCTGATGGGATTGGGGCTGGCAGGAGACAAAGATGGCTGACAAAGGTCCACCCTCCGCCTCCGCCTCCCCAGCCCCTCCCCCCCAACCCCCGACCCCAGTAACCGTTCCAAGTGCGGTGTGACCCGTCAGACCCAGCTCAGCCTGCTGCTTGCCCCTCG